TATATATAATATTAATATATATTGTGCTGGATAGCTTTAGTGTGAATTTGACACATCTGGGTTGAGGGAGCCTCAAATGGGAGTTGCCTCCATTGGATTGGCCTGTGGCCATGTCTGTGGGGCATCTTCTTGATCGTTGAGTGATGTAGGATGGCCCAGCCCACAGTGGGTGGTGCCACCCCTGGGCAGATGGGCCTATGTTGTATAAGAAAGCAGGCTGAACATGGGCCAGGGGAGCAAGCCAGTATGCAGCATTCCTCCATGGCCTGTGCTCCAGCTCCTGCCTCCAGGTTTCTGCCCTGAATTCCTACCTTGGGCTCCTTGATGAACTGTCACCTGGGAGATGTAAGACAAATAACCCCTTTCCTCCTCAAGTTGGTAGTGATCAGAGTTTTGTCACAGCAATGGAGAAACAAGCTAGAGCAGAAATTGGTACCAGAGAGTGGGCATTGTTGTGACAGACCTGACCTTGGTGTTTTGGGGAGGATTCTGGAAGCATTTGGAACTTTGGGATGGAAAAGTCATTGAATGCTTAGTGTTTGTTGCTGTGGAGCTTGTGGAAAGAGTTGTAGACAATGGAGGCCTGGTTTGTGAAGCTTCAAAGGGAAACAGGGACTATCATGGCTATTTGTGTGATATTTTATATTGAGAATCTGTGGGTTCTGGTCCACTGGGGCTGAAGAATCACCTGTGATTATGAAACCGGAACTTGAAGTAACACCTTTGTTTTACAGGGATAATTGATGCTGGTTAGCTGGGGCTGAAAAATCAGCTGTAAGTAATAAGAGACCAACATCACTGTGGTGAAATCTTCTGGGAGGTATTTCCTCAGGGTCAGCACACAAAGGGGACCCGAGCCTCCATCTCAAGCTGGAAGCAGGACTTGGTAGTATGGAAGAGTGTCCTGCATGGTTCTGGTGTTGAAAGCATGAAGGGGTCACAGGAACAGCTGAGGCTTGGCACCCTGAGGGGCCAGGAAAAGCCATGGGTCATGGAGAGAATCGGAGGTGTTGTATACCAAGAGGCCAGAAGAGGCCATTGGTGAGGGTGCAGCCTCAGTTTCAGTGGAGACCCCGGCTTTTTGAAGATGCCAGCACTGTGGGATGACCACTAAGGACAGCAGTAGGTGTGGAATGGAGCTAGCCTGGGTCTGTGTGTGCTAGCTGTGTGTGCTGTGGATGGCAGAGTCAGAGAAGTGGGGGTGCCAGAACCCTTTGGAGTCCAGAAGATCATGAGTGAATCCCATTTGTCCAGCTTTGAGCTAGTTTGCTGGACTTAGGCTTTGCTTAGGTGTGCCCAATTCTTCCCTTTGAAATAAGACAGCACTTGTTTTGGATTTACAAAATCCCACAGTTGAGACTTTTAAAAGAGACTATGGACTTTTAAGTGTTTGGATTTTTTTTAAGTACTGTGAGGCCTTTAAGGTTGTACTGTCTTATGTTGTGATATTAATGTTAACATCATATCTTCAGTACAAGAATTGGAAAGGTTATGGTTTAATAGTGTTGTGTTTGTGTGTCAAATTGACAAGGGGTTAATTGTGCTGGATAGCTTTAGTGTCAACTTGACACACCTGGGTTGAGGGAGCCTGAACTTTGGAATTACCTCCATTGGACTAGCCTGGGGCCATGTTTGTGGGGCATCTTCTTGACTGTTGAGTGATGTGAGCTGGCCCATCCTACTGTGGGTGGTGCCATCCCTGGGCCTTTGTTACATAAGAAAACAGGCTGAGCAGGGGCCAGGGGATCAAGCCAGTAAGCATCATTCCTCCATGGCCTGTGCTTCAGTTCCTGCCTTCAGATTCATGTCCTGAGTTCCTACCTTGGGCTCCCTGATGAACTGTGACCTGGGAGATATAAGGCAAATAAACCCTTTCCTCCGCTAGTTTGTAGTGGTCAGAGAGTTTTTTCACAGCAATAGAGAAACAAGCTAGTGTGTGCGCGCACACACACACATACACACATACACACACATAAAATTATGGATGTAAACCACATGACATACTCATATATTACTGTTAGTGTTCTAGCCTCCTTTCTGTTGCTATGATAAAACACTTTGACCAATAGTAACTCAGAGAAGGAAAGTATTCATTTAGCTTACACTTCCAGATCATAATCCATTATTAAAGGAAGTCAGGGCAAGAATTTTAGCAGTATCTTGAAACAGAAACCTTGGACAGGCCTGCTTGCTAGCTTGCTAATGGCTTCCCCTCAGTCTCATGCTTAGCTAGCTTTCTTAAACAACCCAGAACTCCCTGCTCAGGGAATGGTGCAGCCCACAGGGATCTGGTCTCTCCTTCATCAATTAATAAT